AAAGAAGATTTCAGGAAATAGTTGCCATTTTAGGGATTAAAAAATAAATGGACCTTTATACAGATGGCTTCTATGCATGTGCAGCTCAACCTGAACATGTGTGATAACCCTACAATAGAATAGAAAGAAATAGTGGTAGGAGGATCTGGAGGTACTGAGAGTGCAGATCAGTTGTGGGATTGCTTTGTGTAGACTTCCTTTAGATCTGTGTAAGTGCATAGTGGGAAAAGGAGAAGGCAGGGTGCCAGAGATGGGCTGCATACAATGCAGAGCTTCCAGGGCTGGCAAAAGATCTGCTGAGTCCTGATTTTTCTGGACACGTGCTCATTTTCCACCTAGAGATTTAGACCTGGTGGAATTTGATGATTTTGTGTGTTTGTTTAAGGTTTTCAGAGATTTGGTAGGTACCTGACAAGTGGAGGACACCCAGTAGGATTTCACAGGGTTATGATCAAGATTTCCAGGTGTGTGGCAGCCTTGTCAGGGCCATGGTGCCTCCAGACTGTACTGTATTGTGATGGATAAGAAGTCTGGAGCTTCCAGGCCCTGTACATGTTCTGTGTGGTGGTAGTCCTACAGAGCTATAGAGCCTGTGGGTCTGCAGGTGTCAGATTGTTGGGCAGGAAATTTCAAACTAAAATGTCGGAGACCCTCCGGAGGTGGCTGACCAGTGGACAAAGTGCAGTGTTACCACCAGAGTAGCCAATAGTTGTGGGCTGGAGGGAAGCCACTAGTACTGGTGTAGGCAGCCGCTGCTACAGTTCCACTCAGCAGTTTAAATACAAAGGTTGTATTAGTGTAGTAGAGAGAGGTGGTAGTAGTTGTGTGGGCACCCAGGAGTTTGTGCGACTCAGACTGAGGGAGTCTAGTGCTGTGGAGGGCCCTAAGGAGGACAGGTCCACCTCTGTGTTCAGCGTTTTACCTCCTAACTTAAGCAAAAGCAAGTAAAATCAGTCTTACTGATTGGTTTTTTCCCCTCATGAAAATGTAATTTTCGTATTTGTGAGAGAAATCGCTGTTCTCCTCTTTCCTTGTTCTTTGTTCATATTCTCCATTCACTCCTATTCTCCATTCTCTCCTTACCTGCCCACCAAAGAAGGGTGACATGATGTTTACACAAAGGGCGATATATAAAATAAAGTCCTAAACACAGAATTCATCTTTGTTAGGATCCTTCTGCATCTTGGAGTGATGTCTGCTTGATAGTGTGCATCTTGATGTGCTGCCTTTTCTGTAGTAGGGTATCTGCTCAAGCAGACCACAGATGGTTACAAACATATTTCATTTTGGAAGGATATTACTTTGTGCTTTGTCCAGCTGGACAGGAAGTGCTGAGTTCTCTAGGTTCAAACAGCAAAAAATATACAACAACATACAGAACAATGCATTAACTAACCAAATACATAATGAGGAAACCAAGCATTTGTGCAGTGAAAATAAAGTGCATCATATTTAAACAATATCCCAGCAACCAGTTTCCCTGAGTCATATGTTTGGCACCAACACAGTGCACTGAGAATTGAAATGAGACATGGTAATAGGAAGGAAAGGGTCTTGGAGAACAATGCAGAAGCTGACAGGCCTGTACCTCATTCTGAATCTACTGCTCTTTTTGAACACCACTCACAAGAGTACCACTGAGTGAGTTCAGTGCCATGTAGTAGTCACTGTGAGGAACAGGAATATTAAAAAACTGGTCTCATTTAATCCTCCTTGTTAGCTAAGTAATAACAAAATAGTGACATAGCAAAGAATCTAGGCAGTCCATCTTAATAAATTGAGTGGCACATAAAAGGAAATGGAAGCCTTGGGAAGAAAATGAGGGGTTCATGAATTACTCTCAGTAATCCAGTTTTT